ACACCTGCTGCGCAAGGGCAAGGACCCGAGTTCGATCCCCGGTACCAAAAAAAAATTGAGCCATAAAAATAAAACCAACCTAATCTTTTCAGATGGATTTATAAAGACATGGAAAGTGACTTTGCCATCTGACCCAAATGGGTTCTATTTATTCAGGGGTTGTGACAGAAACTTCAAAAATTAGTCAAAAAATTTTTTCCACATGGAAGTGTAAAAGCATATCCTTCAACACAACTGTCAGTATCCAGATTTTAGTTTTTATTTGTTTTTTGAAGTTTCTGGCACCATTCACTTGTTTCCTCTAGGCCCCACTCCTTGATTCATCCTCCACTCTCAGGCAGTATGCCAGGTCATGGGGTGCTTTGGGACAGTGATAGATGGGAACAAGCAAAGCAGGAAGGAGATCCTGACACTGCTTATATGTCCATTCTCCCATGTTTCACAGACACATTACTTGATCCTTCCTATCATGACAAGGGAGAATTTTCTAAAGTTGACCTAATTAGTGGATATTTCCTAAAGATGAATAGTATCAAGACAAAGACACTAAAGATGAAAAGTGTCAAGACTATACTTTTCTGCAAATGACATGTTTGATGCAGTGAAAATTAAGCTTGAAAAGCTGAACATAAAGTGTAGATTATGGGGAGTTGCATAAGCTGAGACTCTCACTTAGAATCAAACTAAAGTACACTATTATTGACATCCTGTCAGATTAACTGTCCTCTGATCAATAAAAGCCTGATGAGTAAATCAGACCGATTTTACCACATGGCACAAGCACTATGACCTGCCAGCAAGATACACATATAGAAATTTTTAAAAACTGAACTACATCTCCAGCCCTTTTTATTTTAAGATAGGGTCTTTCTAGGTTTCCTAGGATGGTCTTGAATTTCCAATCCTCCTGTGTCACCTTCCCAGTAGCTGGGATTACAAGTAAATACCACCATGTCTGGCTGAATCTACATATTTATGGGAGCCTGAGTTCTCAAAATAATTATGATACAGAGGATGAGAAAAGTTACTTATAACATTGAACCTAATGTGTAGCATCAGAAAATTCTGCCTAGTTTACAGAAATGAGTAAATTTGATTCATATTTTATATTAATATATTAGAAACATTTTCCTCCTTGATGAGAAGTATTTTAAAACATTATTTTCATATTAAAGCCAAAATATCTACTAAGAAGCATAGAAAATAAATGACTTTTTAAAGTCAGTACAATTAATAAGATTTTAAATTTCTTTTAATATTTGGAGAGCGTCAAGCTATTCATTGTACTGGGCTATAGCCGAAAGTTTATGTGAAAAAGTTTTCAGAAACATGGTTTAAGTTTGGAATCATATTAAGTTAATTTTGGACATTTTTAAGCTGGGCAGGTGGCTTATACCTGTAATCATAGTACTCAGGAAGCTGAGGCTGGGGACGTACCTCATTGGCAGAGTATTTGCCTAGCATGTACAAGGCCCTCAGTTCAATCCTCAGAACCACAAGAAATAAAACATTTATGTTAAGAAAAATGAAAGGAATTAAAAGTCATTTCCTTTTATGTCACTGTTACCCTATGTATAAAATTACAGTTCTCTTCTTTCATGCAGCCCTGAAGCTCACCTGGGCTCAGAAAAGGCTGTTGCTCTAAATTGCTTCTGTGCCCGTATGTATCTATAGCCTTGATATACCTGGGCCACAGTAGATATTTGAGGACCAGGGTCCATGGTCATGTTGTTTAGAGACTTTGACTTTATAACATGGGACAAAGAGTTCCTTACTCCACAACAGTAGATTGGCTCCAAAAGGAATCCAAAGGCTACTTTGCTGGTATAGTTTACTCACTAGCTTGCAACATCACTCATTGATGTACCAAAAGCATTGTCAGTTCATCCACTTTTTTTTTTTTTTTTAATACTGGGGATTGAACTCAGTGCCTTCACACTAAGATAGAGCCTCAGCCCTTTTTTATTTTTTTATTTTGAGACAAGGTCTCACTAAGTTGCCCATGTGATACTCAAACTTGGAATCCTACTGCCTCAGCCTCCCAAATCACTGGGAGTACAGGCATGTACCACTATACCCAGCTTATCCACGCTTTATTGAGTTATGGGAACTGCTGAGGGAGATTGTGGGGTTGGTTAATTATCTAGTTAAAAAGGCTTTCCTCCCCACCGTGCTACTTTTTCTAGTCTGATATGTATTTCATCTTCTACCTCCTATATCACATTTCCCTAGTATTCAAGACTACAGTGTATTCCCATAGAAATCATCACGCAAAACCTGGGACTCCACACTGAGTGCCCCTTAGACTGATGCAGAGCCTAGTAGGGTCTTGGTTGTTGTAGACTGCCTAAAGGGCATTGGGGTAATGAGTTGCTTCAGCTGAACATGTCCTTCCTTTCCCCCAACAGACATAACCAGTGCGGTGCAATCCAAGCGAAGAAAATCCAAGTAAACAAGCTGGACAACGATTTGATACTTGTAAATGTGTGTGAATTTTACAAAGAGCAATTTTGAGCTGTGACTTTTTAAAATCTATTTCTGTACAGTCATTTTAATAATGTGGCCCTTTTCCTAGTCCCTGCAACCTATTTTGTAAAGTGCAATGGGGAAAGCAGAGTTGTTAAGCCCTTTTGGTGTTGTGAGATGAAGTTCAAGGTTTCTAAAATGTTGCCATGTATTGAGAGGAGCTAATGCCATTATAAATGTTACTACTTTTCAAATTTCCTAAACAGCCTAGAGTACAGGGTGAACATTTTTTAGATCTTCTAATGAGGTATTGTGCCGTGGAAGTACTGTGTGTGAATAGCAGTAGCGGGGGCAAAAGCAATCTTGTCATTTGGAAATGTTGTAAATAATTTTATTATATAGTGTTTTGGATGTATTTGTTGTAGAAATGGACCAGTGAATAAAGAGAATCTAAGGGTTTGTACAATGTGAAATACTGAATGTGTTAAATAAATGTCATTGTCATAGACATAATGGTATGTTATTGGTAAGAGATTATTGGGTGAGCAAGCTCAACAATAAATGAGTGGACACAGCCTCATGAATTAGACATATTGTACACCTGAAATGCCCCCCTGGCAAATTAAGGGAAGTGCATAGACTTGTTCACTCGGCATATTGGCTTTGAAGAAATTAGCCTCTGTTCACCCTATTATATATAAGGATCAAAAAATGTTTTTTGATTTCAAATAACAGAACCAACAGGATCAATTACTCAGGATTTTCTCCTAGAAACAAGAAACTGTCATCAACCCAGATGGCACTTTTTCTCTACCTCATACATCTCTGTGCATATGATTGCCCCAAACAACTGTTTTACATCTCCTCCATTCAGGAGGTATACTGAGACTGAACAAGATTGTACCAGCATCAAAAATTTAACCCAGTTTAGGTCAGGTTTTCACTTTTAGTCAAAGTCTGTAGTTAGATGGGCAAAGGGGTGGACAGAGATGTCCATGGCATCCCACTTTGGGATGCCTGTTCCTTATCTGTATCACCCTGGGAGTGATTTATCAGCATGCCCAGGTTTTTCCCTTTCCTGAATCAGTTCTTTCTTGAAAATTTTCATAGTCTTTGCTGGGGATTTAGCTCAGTGGTTCCGCCACCTGCCTCATAAGCACAAGGTCCCGAGTTCGATCTCCAGTACCAAAAAAAAAATTTTTTCATAGCCTTTAAAACCAGCTGCTTCTGTAGCCAGCTACCCCCAGCTTTCAGGAAACTGCAGAACTTGGGGCACTGTCCTTATCTCAGATAGGGCCTAAGCCTTCTGCTTTGTCTCCTAGGGCTAGACTTAAACTTCATTCCTTCCCCTCTTGTGGCTCCTCCCCTTGCCATAACCCAGTGCCTGATACTAGAACAATGTAACTCTGTCATGCTCTTATTCTCATCTGTATTTCAAATGTCTTTGTATAAGGGCCCACTAAAAATATTTTACTGAGTCAGATCCGACATTGTCTGGCCCTGTTCCCAGTGAGTTTACCCTCTGTGACGCACACCAGAACCAAAGCCAGCTTAATAATAATACTTTCTATCTCGACAGTGCTTGAGATTAGAGTGCTTCTCATACTTTAGCTCAACTCAGGCACAAAGCATAATGTGCTTTAAATAGATTTTTATTTGTTTATATTAATTTTTTTCTCCAATAAAGGAATAACATTACAATCTAATCAGAATCCTGTTACACACATACACAGGCATGCCACATGACCAGGTCAAGGTGATTGTGTCCTTGAGTCTGTCAACCCATCATAACATGGTCAACCAGTCTCCTCATTGCAGCCAGTCTCAACACAAAACCCTCAACAGGGATGCACTCAACTTGTTGGTTCTATTTGAAACTAGGTGGCAGGGTAAGAGGGAAGGTATTAGAAGTGGGCTATAGTGTGTCTGCATTCAGTCTCCTTACACAAAGTTACATGAATCTGAGGAAGGCATCCAAGAGCTCTGGTGGGTTCCTTGTTGCACCTAAGACATTATGGGTCACAGCAAGTTGATCATAGGTTTCCAGGCAGGGGGCTGGGGAACAGGGGTATTCCAAAACAGCACCAGACTGCACTCATACACACGGTACCCTCTAGGGCTATTCTGGCAAGGGTTAGTGACACCCAGCTCGAGGGAACCACTAAGACCTACTGGGAAAAACTGGAAGTCACTATTTGATATAGTAACTGCTCTCTCTGACATCCTTAGTTTTGGAAAAGTGCTGGTAGTAATGACATTAATACTCACAAACTGATACAGACTTCTCCAGAGTCTCTGAAAACATCAAGACAGACTCACCCTCTCCTGTCTAAGGTTGCATAGGACTTTGTGAATTCTGGTTCCCTCATTTATTCAAGTTCTGTGGTTTAAAAAAAAATCCTGAAGCATGCTCAAGGTGAAAGGCACATACACAGTCAATACAGTATGACAAAGTCTGATGCTTCAGGAGTCAGACTAGCAGGAGACTGAGTAGTGTTGGTTCTTAGAAATCTATACACAATTAAAATATTGCCATACTCAAATGCTACAGAATTTATAGGAAAGTACAAAAAATATGAGCCTTGCAATCAGCCAAGTGAGATAGGAGGGTTCTAGAACTATAGGAGCCTCCAGAAATACAGGTAAGGCTCAGAGCCTTTAGAAATTTGAGCCAAAATGCCCTATCACTCTTCTACCAGCAGGATCATGGGCACTGGCCAGGACTAGCATAGGCCCCAGCTGGTAGTGAGAAATAGCAAGAAGAGTTGGGTTAGTTTTAGCTGTTGGAATGCTAAAGATCCTAAACTGGCTGTGATGTAATCAAGGGGTAGCTAGAAGAATAAAAGTATACTAGGTTATAACTAGAGAACCTGGGGAGAGGAGCAAGGTTGTCAACTACTAGGGTCCTAGTAAGCAGGCATGGGGGACTTTGCTCTTTGTAATGCCAATTTGGCTTATTCCTTGAGATAGGAGACCCAGCAGGGCTGCTTCTGCCCCTACCCCAGAGTCCATTGGGGATTCCTCCCCTCCCTTCCCCACGAGTGCCATGTGAGGCCTGGGACTATAGAATCAGGGAGGGCAGCTGCCTTTGCCCTAATGGAAATGGAGTTTTTTCCAACCCGTTTGGCTGTGAGGCCTGGAAACCTGGAATTGGAGTGAAAGGGAAGACCTATGTTAGTATGTAACAAGAAATCTTAAAAATTTCAAGGAAGAAAGCACACACTAGAAAAAGACAGCTAGAAAGAGAATGGGAAGCAATTCAGGGCATCCCAAGAGGCTGTTGCTGGTGTCTAAGCCCAAAATTCAATCCCACCACAAGAAGGGGAAAGTTAGCCTTCCCTGTCCCTAGTCTCTCACCCAGGGATTCAGGTTCCTTGCTTTAGATACTTATTAAAGGAAAGGAGGAGGGGTTCATAGGATACCCATTTCTCCCCAGAAGCCTAGAAAGGAAGAACCCTGTGAGGGAAAATGAGATCCTTGAAGGTCCTGAACCTTGATAGGGATATTTGGGGAACTGGAACAGTGGGGGTCCTGGCCTCCTACCCAGGAGTGTTTATTAGCCATACTAAGCAGGATATGAAAGATAAGGCCAGAAGCAAGATGAAGGCTGAGCTGTCAGTCTTGATAGGGCTTCATCCCACAGCTTGTCCTCTTTAGCATCATTCTTCTGCATTCTTACCTTGGGGTGTGTGCTCTCTCCCTGCCTAAAAGCCCTCTGGCCTATATCTCTCCTACTGTAGTTCTAGCACCTTGGGCATGTGAACTCTTGCTCTGGATAGCGGAGCCTTTCCCAGCTTCTACTCCTGGGGTGGCATGTCAAGGTAGGATAGCAAGGTACTAAAGCCCTTCAGACTCAGGAGCCTGCAGAGGGGTAACACCTCAGGAAAAGATATGAGAGGTAGGATTATAGGAAAGGAAAGTGGGGGCAGACTCTAGGCTACAGCCTGAGAGCAGGGCTTGCCTTTCTGAGCAAGCCCAGTGCCAGCTCCCATAATGCCCTGCTCTCTACAGTTTCCCAATACGTCCTACCTACTTCTCCATTAGACTGCTTCATTCCCTTGACTCCTTCCACCTTCTCCACCAAGCTCACATCTCACTGTCCTCTTTCACATACTTTACCTTTCCAGGCCTAAAAGCAGCCTCCAGTAGCCCAGCCCCCTAGGCAAAAAGAAGGGAGAGATTAAAAATGAAACTCTGAGCCAGACCCCTTCCTGAAGGGCAACGGCAGTGACAGGGGTTGCACAGGGTGAGCTCAGAGTCCCCTCCCTTTATCCATTTGGGAGGAAATTACTGGGAACAAACAAGGGGACAGGAGTATAATGCCAAACATAGGAAAAGAGTGAATCCAGGAAAGGTGCAAGTTGAAGATCAGGAATGAGCCAAGTCAGGGTGGAAAAGTCTCTCAGAAATAGAGGAGTGGGCCAAGAGGACAAAGGTGAAAGAGAGAGACAGTGATAGGGGCCAGAGAAGGAAGCGTGAGTATCAAGAGTGGAAAGGATGAAGGATTAGATGCTGAGTGTGGGGAGGATGAGAGAGCCTGGAGGTGGCAGTCAGAGGTGGACTTAGATGGTTAAAGATGAGGAAATCCAGGGAGTCGAGGAAGGGCCATCACTCCACCTCATACTCTTAAGGACAGGGAGGGTGTGGTATCCAGCCCACCTCGAGCAGCACACTGGCCGCTCCATAGGGGACAGACGGGTATTAAGCGACAGCGACAGATTCATGATGCGGCCGTCCGACACTCAGTAGTTGAACTGGCGTTGGCATGGCTGGTAGACGAAGCTGCCCTGGTGCTTGGGCCGGCGTGGACGGCTCTCACGGGCGCGGTTCTGCCGTTGCACCACCTTGGCGCTCAACGCGTGGCGCTCGGCCCGCTGTCGGGCCCGCTGCAGCCGCCGCGTCTGGCCCGCCTTCTCCAGTAGCACTGCCCGCGCTGGCAGGGGAGCAGCGGCGTGGTGCAGAGCCCGGGTCTCGCGGCGGGCGGGTGCCAACTCTCTGTAACGATGGAGGAGGAGGGTCGGTCAAGGAGGGACAGGACGCGGGGACACTGGCATCTCCTACCCTGTCTTCCGCGCCCTTGCCTTGGCTCAGTGCCATCTCTGCTGAGTGGAGCGCTTGACGCCCTTCTGGTGGGTACCAACCCTTTCCCCAAGCCAACCTCGAGATGCCTCCTCGATTCTAGCCCTGGCCTGGGAGAAGGCTCGGGTCCCACTCCTCAGTCTGTAACAGCAGCCCCAACCTCATAGAGCCTTGGCCTCCAAATCCAGCCCAAGCCCCTCAGCAGCCACCCTCCGGCTCCGCCCCAGCTGTGAGGCCACGCCTCTGGTCGGACAGCCTTGTCCATAGGCCCCGCCCAGTGACTCGAGGACACGCCCCTCAAAGCTCCACCAGGCTCTCCGGCCCTTGTTCCCACGGCCTTCGGATCTGGACCCTAGCCTTCAGGTTCCGCGCTCGGCCCGCTCACCTGTCGCTGAGGTCGGCGTCAGGAAGGGCAGCGTCTGGGTGTGGGGAAGGCGGCCCAGGCTCTAGCATTATGGTGCTGCCGGTGACGTAAACGGACATACTGGGGTGCTCGATGAGAAGGTCCTCCAGGGGGCTGCTCTGGAGGCGGGCAGGCCCGAGGCCCGGCCCCTCTGCGGTAAAACAGGCGGGAGGGGTAACAAACCAGCTCTCGTCCATCAAGGAGGGCGCGGGCGGAGGGCGGCCCGCCGGGCCAGGGGCGGCCCCAGGGCTGGGGGGAGCTGCGTAGCTGTCTACGCGGCGCGGGAGGGGGAGCCATGCGGCGGCGCGGCGGCGGCGGAGCAGAGGGAAAGGATACACACACACACACATACACACACATACACACACACACACACACACACACCAGACACAGAGGGCGGGGAGAGAAAGGGCATCGTTAGTCAGACCTGCAGCCCTGCCTGCCTTGCCCACGGAGCACCCACGGGCCAAGACTCTCCTTGCTCCCCTAGATCCAGGACCTGAGGTGTGGGCCCCAACTCCTTGTCGCCAGTAGAGGGCCTAGGATTGCAGGGGAAGGGGTCTTGTTACCCCACCCCCGGGGGTCACAACTTCAGCCCGTTTGCCTGGTGGGCTTGGGGGAACTCCTCAATCCCTAATAGCTCCCTGCCACTCCACTGCTGGGCCATCTGTCCTTATGGTGGCTTCACAGGCCCAGGAGGCAGAGTCCTGGCCCCAACTCAGGTCTCACCCGGCAGGTCAATGATGAGCCAGCCATCAACTTCATTTTCCTTGGAGACGAAGGCGGGGGGGCAGTCGGGGTCTTCAGGAGGCGAAGGGGTGCTGAAGAAGAGGCTGGTGAGGCGCTGGAACATGGTGGGGCAGTGAAGCGGCCTCACGGGGGCGCCCTATGGCAGTGCAAAAACCTGGGAATCAGAGGAGAGTCAGAGCCAATAACTAAAGTCCGCTCTCGCTTTTGCACTGGGACAGGGCAGAGGACATCACCGCTGTACCCAAGAGCAGTGATAAGTGTACAGTTGGAATGGGTGGGAAAGCTTTTGAGGTGAGTTCTCTGCATTCAAATACAAGCTTTTCTGTCTTCTGTATGAACTCAGAAGTCAGTTCTCTGTGCCTTAGTTTTCTCATCTGCCCAGGGACAATGATAATAGTACACTTCTCTGAGCCTTTATCAGAATTAAATGAGCTGGGCCCAGGGATGTTGCTCAATGGTAGAGTGGGTGTTTCGTACCACCCCCACCCCCACACACACACACAAACACACACACTAATTAAATGAAATTATAACTATCCTCCTCTAGACTCTACTAAGAACTAAATGAGCTAAACACTTATAAAGTGTCTAGAACAGTCCCTGGGCACAAAGCAAGCACTCAATAAACTTAATAAACGAGTTATAAGGTGCTTTATTTATTTAGGGACATAGAAGGAAGGTCTTTTGTCAGGGAAGATCTCCTTAGGGTCCAACATCCAAGCTGGACCTTGAAGAGTCAGTAGGAATTCTCTAGACAGGGAACAAATTTCCCATCCTGTGATTATTTATTATCATCATAATAAAATAATACTCAAGTGCCAGGCACTAAGCAGCTTCATCTATATTACCTTATTTCACCTTTAAACAAATATAGACCATGACTGTGATTACTATCTCTCTTTTATAGGTGCAGAAAAGAAAGAAGAGGTGAGGCTCAGAGAGATAAGGTAACTTGCCCAAAATCTCAAAGCTAGAAAAGATAGATGTGGGATTTGAACCAATGCAGTCAGTCAGATTCCAGAGGCAGCAGCCATAACACTATGGTCCACTAGCTTTGCTGGGTGACTACTTCGATTAGGCATTTTTAACTTGGAGACTAGAGGCCATGATCCTTGTGTATTTTTCTGGGAAGAAGGACTTTGGTTTTCATCACAATTTCCTAATAGTGGTCTTTGGCCTCAGATACTAAGAAGGAGCCCATGTGGTTTGAAAAGCAATGGGTAGTTGGGCATGGTGTTGCATGCCTATAATCCCAGCACTCAGGAGACTGAGGCAAGAGGATCACCACCAGTTTGAGGCCAGCCTGGGTTACCTAGTAAGTCCAAGCCCAGCCTGAATTACACAATGAGACCTTATCTCAAAAAAAGAAAGAGATTAGCTCAGTGGTTTCGCCGCCTGCTGTACAAGCGCAAGGACTCAAGTTCGATCCTGGTACCAAAAAAAAAAGAGAGAAAGAAAGAAAGAGCATTGGGTAGAGGAAACCCCACAGAACTGCTACGAACCCACCATGTGACTGAACAGGCCTCAAGTGTCTGTCAGATGAAGTATGAATGTCCTACCCCCACAGGCCCTCCCTATCCTAACCTCCTTTTCCCTGGCTTGGAGGAAGATCAGGTTGCCTGGCCCCAGTGAAACAGCAGATCAGTGGGAGATGATGAGGGAAGGAGAGAGTTGTCAGGTCCCAGGAGCCCTTAAGGATAAACACTGACGGTTGGACCAGAACCCAAGCCTTCATCAAGTCTTTCCCTAGGTGAAGATAAGGAAGGAGGCTCCCTGCTCCAGGAATGGAGACATTAAGATTGTGGCTATAGATCTGCTCCCAGACCATTTTACAGCCTGAGATTGAGAGAGACAGAACATAAATCAATACTCAAACCCACAGCTAGTGGTAGGATAAGCCAAGCATTAGGTCACTAAGCACTCAGTCCAGATTGTACATAGTCAGGAAAGCTTCAACAGATAATCTCCAAGAATATGAATGAGCCACTGGGGACAAGGTGAGACAGGGACCTTGATCCAGTCATTGTCCCCCTGCCCAGCCACAGAAAAGCCTGGGGTTGCTAGCATCAAGATGTACCAGACCCTGCACTGAGCCTCCTCAGTTATAGACATTAAGGCAAGGGAGACTCAGATGAGAAGATCCCTGACCTAGGTCACACAAGTCAGTGACAGCCAGGAGTGATAGCAGCACCAGCCAGTCAGTGCCTGTCCCCTCTCTTGACCACTGGGAGAGCCTCTTGGATTTTCTTTCCCAGCCCTGCCAACTTCCTAGTTCTCAGGTTCCCAGCTCTGCTCCAGAAGGAATCATTCCCTTTAATAACTACAGCAGCTGTGCCCAGAATAACACTCACACCCTAAGCCATCCCTAGCTGAGCCCCTCCTTGAGCAAACCCCAGGCTGAGATGGGGCTCCGGGTCCAGCCTGTAGGCCCATCCACTTGGAAAGTCAGAAACTCTCTTCTGTCCCCTTCTCCTAACCCTCTCTGAACAGAGAAAGGGGCCCGCACAACCTCTGCAGTCACGAGCACTGGGCCAAGTACATCCCTCCTAGCTGACAAGTCTAGGGTGGGGAGATGATGAGGGGCCAATGGGGTGAAACTTTACACCTAAGGTTCTACCTTAACCAACCAGCCAATGACTCACCTTTCTATGATCAAAACAGCTAGGAAGCACTGATTTTATGCGGCTCCAAGGTAGAATGAGGACAAAGCGGGTCAGGGCCACCAAAGAGGACCCAGTCTCCAGAGACCTCCTGGGAAAAGGGCCAGGAGTGAGGAGACCAAAGAGCCCTGTCAAATCGGAGTGGTGCCCAGTGGAAGAAGTTTGTGTAGCTTGTTACTTACATTGAGTGCCTGCTATGTATATGCCCACAGCTAATGCATCCATCTGTAACTTGACTCTAATTGGCTGTGTGACTTAGAGTAAACTACTTCCTCTCTCTGGGCCTCAGTTTCCCCTTCCGTGAAATGGGGTCTAAGACCTCCTCATTTGGAAGCTGGGCGTGACATCAACTAAGGCGCTGCACACAAGGCAGGGATTAGGGGAATGTTATTATGGTAGTCTGTTGAAGGCGGAAGTTGGATACAAAAAGGGGATTCCGCCACCATCTGCTGCTGACCCAAAGACCTGGAGTCTGAGGTCGCCTTGAACCTCTGACGAACTCCTCAACCCAGACCTAGCGTGCTGTCGGACATTCTCTCTGGTCTGGAGAAGAAACCAGGGAAACAGAGACCTGACCCCAGTCCCAGAAGTCCGCTGAGGCCCCTCGAACCCCGCTTGCTGTCCAGCGTCTCTTACTCTTGGCCCAGGCTGACACAGTGCCCACCAGGTCACGGGAGGACAAGCGACCCAAGCTTGGGAGGTGGTGCTGGCCTTGGTGACGTCCCAATGTCATATGCAAATAGGGCGACGTCACGATCAACCGGCGAGCGGCAACCAATCGGGAACCGGGAACGCAGTCCCAGCGGTCGCCCGCGGAGACAGACAAAGGCCCCGACACTGAGGGGCGCAGGGCGTGTCCCAGGGCGCCTGGAGCCCCCCCCGGCCCAAACTGGTCGGGACTCACCTGCAGGCAGAGCTGTGCGACGGGCAGAGTGGTGCGGCGGGAGGGGGTGGCGCTGAGGTAGTTGTGCGGCGGAGCGTCCTAGAGTGACCAGCGGCTCACAGGCCAGGCTGCATCGTGGGAGCCGGGCCGGGAGGCGGCGGGGTAGCGGCCGGATGCTTGGAGCTGCTGCGCTCGCCCGCGGGGCTTGGTGTCTGTGCGGCCGCAGCAGCGGAGGTCACGGCACAAATTGGAATGTTCAAACAGCTGATTGTGACGTCACAAAGGGGCCAGCCCGCCGCGCGTCACTGGCCGGCAGAGCGACGGCCAATCCCAGGCTGCGGATTTCCCCCCTCTCCACCCCCTCGACGGTTCACTGGTGAGAGGCTCCGGTCCCCCATCCTCGCTTGGAGCCTCGGGGCTCTGCCGAGAGAGGCAACTGCTGGAAGCTTGGAATCTCCACCCGAGCCCCCCGCAAACTTCTCAAAGGAGGCGATCCCCCCCCTCCTTCCTGCGGGATCCCTTTCCTCCTGCTATCTCCACATACACTGACTCCCTCACCTCTCGTACTGCACCCCCATATCTAAGTCCCCATCTGTACGTACCTTTTACTCTGCATCTCTATTCTATACACTTCCCATCGCCTTACTCCTTTTTTCTGGTGCGTCTCCTCATCCCTACACATTTTCAGTTTTCCTACTGCATTTTTCCTCAGCTGGACAGGAGCAGGATGTGTCCCTTTCCTAGTTCCGGGGAGCACCTGCAAGTGTCGGAGAGTTGGTGAGGCTGACGGGAAATTTTTGCAAAGAGTAGGACTTGAAGAGGAAATGGGCTGGATAAACATTGACCTAGAGACCGGTTTGCCTTGCCCTGGAACGTTTACACGATTTAATTTCACTTTGCCACTGAAACTAGACAGAAGTGATAGGACAGGAATTATTAGTCCTGTTTTACATATGGAGAAACTGAGACTCCCAAATCAGCAAGTGAATTCATATTCATTAATGTATTTTTAAAACACCTACTGAGCACTAGTTGTTTCTACTGCCAGACCATTTCTGACATTTGTTGAATACTTACTGTGTACCAGGCACTGTGCTGTGGGGTTTTTTTATCTTCACATCACTGACAAAAGGTGGGTATTATCCTTATTTTACACTTGAGGAAGCAGACTAAGAGCGCCTAAGAAACTTCCCAAGGTAATGGGTTATGTTCAATGTCAGAGCCAGGAGCTGACCCCATTGACTCCTGGCCTCCGACTCTCTCTACTCTCTGGACACCAGATGGTTTACCTACACCACAAGCACAGAGAGAATTGGCTTCTAGCCCTGTGCCCCAAACTTGCTGTATGACATCGAATAAGTTGTGTTACCTCTCTGAACCTCATTTCATTAGCCTGAACTACGAAGCTAGACCCTGTCTCAAAAAAAGGTAAAGCCTGAGATGAGGCCTTATTTAGATAATATATTCCCATTTTTCTAGTGAAAAGACTGAGGCAGATTTTTTTTTCTCTCTTTTCTTTTTTTTCAGAGGAGATTTCACTATATTGCCGGGGCTGGCTTTGAATTCTTGGGCTCAAGTGACCCTCCTGCCTTAGCCTCCCAAGTAGCTAGAACTATAGGTATGCACAACCATACATGGCAGAGGGGGAAATTTTAATTGGTAAATTGAGCCAAGGCAGACACAATCCCCAAATTCCCCCAGAAGATGATCCAATACTTTAACAAGGGACCGTATCTCAAGAACCACTCAAGCTAGGAATGGTGGTGGGCACCTGTAATCCCAGTGATAGAGGGGAAATAAACGTAACTCTCAACCTGCTAGATGTCAGATATACAGAATTTGTGTTCCCCGAAGTTGAAGAATTTTTTTTTAAAGAGGAAAGGTTTATTTCAGCAGTTTGTAGAGGTTTCAGTCCATAGTCAGCTGGCTCCAAGGCAGGACAGCCTGGCAGAGGGGCATTGCAGAGGAGAAACAGTCCATGGTGTACTCAGCAGAAGGCAGCAACAGTGAGCAAGCTGCCTTTCCCTTTTTTTTTTTTCCTTTCCCTTTTATCCCATCCAGGATACAGCCCTTTTTGGGTGATACCATCCACACCCAAGGTGGGACTTCTGTTTTCAGCAAATTCCTTCAACCACGTTCAGAGCTATGCTGATCCAATTTAGTTGGCATTTCTTACTCAAGTTGACACACTCAGTTATCAGGGAGGGTATGTGTGGAGTCATGTAAATCCCAGTCCAAATTCAAGAAAAGATGAGATGTTTTAGCTCTAGCAGTGAGACAGGAAAAAAAGAAACAATGCAGCAGGGCATGGTGCATACACCTATAATCCCAGAGCTCTGGGAGGCTGAGGCAGGAGGGTTGCAAATTCAAGCCCAGTCTGGACAATTTATTGACTTGAGGAGACCATTAGTAGAGGTTTAAGTCCATAGTTGGCTGACTCCAGTGCAGAACAGGATGGTGGGAGTGACTGAGCAGAGGAAAACTGCTCCCTCATGGAATCCAGGAAGCAGGAAAAGTCTGAAGAATGAATTCTAAGGAATCACAAAGGTTAAAAGTAGGAAAATGTATTGGGGAATAGGAATGGTGAATAAGAATGAGAACTAGGAATACTTCCTGAGAGACAGGAGGGGTCCAGAACGGGTTGCCAACGAGCCCACTTTTCTGAGAGAATTTTATAGAGCAAACTCATGAGGAGTGGATACACTGTGGGTCAAATTATAATCAATCAATAACATTACAAGTATAGCTGCTTGGCTAATATTGATCCAATAGTGCCAAGGGCATGTGGATGACATCAATAACCTTGGTGGATAATCTATAGTCTTAGTCTTGTCTTTAGTCTTAGTCTTGTGGGTGGGAGAGGATGGCCCACCCCTAATGAGATGATGGTTTATGTAGATGGGAAATCTCAAAAGGGTGGTATCAATAATCTCAAATTTCCTTAGCAAGTAATAAATCTGGTCATTGTGATTTTAATCTTCTTCAGATGCGTCTCCAGCCAGGTTTTGATGTGTTCTCATCTTCTGCACTGACTCCTTTGAAGGCCTACCCCTGTCTGACTGCCTATAATATTTCTACCTAATTTAGTTGTCTATAATACCAGCATTGAGGGAGGCCAAGGCAGGAAGATCACAAGTTTGAGTTTACTCTGGGCAATTTAGCAAGTTGGTGAGACTTCCAATAAAAAATTTTAAAAGTGGGGCCAGGGATTTAGCTCAGTGGTTCTGACGCTTGCCTCGAAAGCACAAGGTCCTGAGTTCGATCCCTGATACCAAAAAAAATGTTTTTAAAGGGTTGGGGTTGTAGCTCAGTGTGCAGGCCTTGGGTTCAATCCTTAAAAAAGAAAAAAACAGGGGCAGTGATTTAGCTCGGTGGCACCATCCCTGCCTCACAAGTGCAAGGTCCTGAGTTTGATTCCAGGTACTAAAAAACCCCCAAAAAAACCCTCCTGAGCTCAAGGGATGGGATCCTTTCATTCTCAACCTCCTGAATAACTGAGACTAGCAGTGGTGGCGAACCTTTGGCACTCATGCCACAGTGGGCTGTTTGTTATCACTGAAAGCTCTAAAAGGTTTGCCATCACTGGGCTAGTGACATACAGCACTATGCATGGTGAGTAAATCTAGATTTCAATCCTGCTTCCAGGCATCTGCCTGATCCTAGATAAATCACTTCCTTTCTCTAAGTCTTAGTTTCCCCATCTGCAACATGGCTAGCTCCAGGCATGCAGGTTTGTGTAAACTGTGCTCAGTATCCAGTCAGTGGGGAGGTGATGGTCAGAACAGGATTCATTTCAGAGAAAACAGGCAGTTTTATCTATTTGGAGTGTTGGGATAGGGCGGTGACTTTGGATGTATATATGAGCGTGGACAAATACCTACATGAGTTGCTTTCGTGTGATGCCCAGCATGGATTTCCATACTTCAAACCTTAAAGGAGAAATGGTTGCACCCCTTTCTACCCAAAAGTGGTTAGAAGAGACAGCTTTGGGGCCACACACGCATAGGAGGAAAGGAGCAGGTGTCTGTGCTTGTCTTCTGTCCTTGATTAGGCAGCGCCAGATTCTGCACCTCCCTGCTGGGCCTTGGCTTAGGAACTGGGTCCTAAGCAGGTTTCGAGTCTGGAGAACAGAGGGTGAACAGGAGGTTCCCTTCTGGAGAACCACCCACTCTTCTAGGAGCAAATAAACTCCCTGAAGCTCAGGCCACTCCCTCTCCTGTTCACAGCTCTACCTTGGCTCCCTACAGCCTCCAGGCTGAAATTCATACTACTATTCCACCTTAAAATCATTACCTGAGCTTCCGGGTTTGCAGTGGTTTGTTACATAGTGATGGAAAACTGATGCATGAGTGTTAAAAGATTTTGGGCTTGTTTTTGTTTTGTTTTGTTCTTTGCATGACAAGCAACTTGAGAAGCTGTAGGTGGTGATACAGGGGGAACATGCCTATCATTCCAGCACTCTGGGAGGCTGAGGTAGGAGAATCACAAATTTGTTAGAAATTTAGTAAGACCTTGTCTCAAAATAAAAAAGGGCTGGGACTGTAGCTCAGTGAGAAGGCCCTGGGTTCAGTCCCCAGTACCACAAAAGAAGGAAGAAGTGAAAAGGAAAAGGAGAAGAGGAGGCAGAATAAGAAGGAAAAAAAAGAAGGAAGAGGGGAGGGGGAGGAGGAGGAAGAGGAGGAAAGGGAGGGAGAGGGGAAGGAGAAAGAGAAGGAGAAGGAGGAGAAGCAGCAATTTGAGGGCTAGGGGTGTGGATGAGAGGTAAAGCATCTGTCTAGTAGGTGTGACACCCTAGGTTCCATTCTCAACACCTCAAAAATACAGGCCAGATACAGTGACACATGACTGTGATCCCAGCTACTCCAGTGGCCGAGGCAGGAGAATCACAAGTTTGATGTAGCCCGGGCAATTTAGCAAGACCCTGTCTCAAAATAAAATTAGAAGGTCTAGGAATGAGCTCAGTGGTAGAGCACTTGCCTCACATATGGGAGGCCCTGGGTTCAATCCTCAGTCCAAAAAAAAAAAAGGCAGTTTCAGTTACTAATCTTTCTGCCTAGGACTTTCTAAGGATAGATTTGTCTTGTCTGCTTGCCTTCTAGGCTTTTGAGATAACAGGGTAAGAGAGCCAGCATGGAGAGGTAAGAGGAAAGAGAAGGAAAAGGAAACAAACAAGTCTTGGGAGAAAGGAGAACAGTTATTTTATGTTTGTTTCGGGGGGGGGGGCGTGTATTTGTTCTGTGGTGCTGTTGTTGTTTGTGGTGCTGGGGTTTGAACCTAGGGCCCCGTGTATGCTAGACAACAATTTGCTCTTTATATTGCTGTTCTTGAATGTGACATTAAAGGTACTGTACTAGGTCCAAGCCATGTGGGCCCTAGGATTTATTTGGGTTATTGGGGTTGCTTGGGCTCAATGGTATCTTTGTGGGAATCATCTATTTTCCTGGATCAGGGTCTTCCCTCACCCCCTTTACTTGGTCTCTACCTATTGAGCCCTCTGGGCCCAGAGTCCTTCACCCTAGCCAGCTTTCTGGGGTTCTCAGAACCCTTAATACTCCATAAAAATCCCCTTGACTTTACTCCTTTGATTCCAGCCAAAAGTCTACTGCCAGGAGCTTTGGGGAGTTGCAGGCATAGAAGCTCTATGTGTGCAAATATTAATTGATCAAAGCTGGGCATGGGGGTGCATGCCTATAATCCCAGCACTCAGGAGGCTGAGGCAGGATTTCTGCTTGTTCAAGGCCAGCCTGAACTGCATAGTGAGACCCTGTCTCAAAAAAAGAAACAAAAAAAATAATTG